GGTTTCCTAAAAAATTGTGAGATAAAATCTTGAGACGTGGGAGTTGGCAGCTCTGAATGTCGTGACGTCACGCATGCACAGGAACCATTCTTGGAACCGGAAGCGAGGAGATAAAACTGGAACACAAATATTCTCAGTCATATTTTACTTGTTTATCATTTCATTTTACTCATACATATACGTTGTTTGCTTTTACTTTTCCAATTCACCATGAGTCGATTTAAAACATGGAAATACAAGAATGCAGCACCCAAGATACCGGACGCAAAGGTAAAATACGGTTGATTAACTTGATTTATAGCTATAAACGTACTTTGGCTGTATTGGTATATCCGTGTATGCTAGCCTGGAAAATTTATACATGATGTTTTTATGGTTATCTGCGTTGCTGCTTTGCGAGAGACCATGGCTTTTATTAACGTATTGTGAAGTGTGGCTTGGTGGACGTTTTTAGCCGCAGGAAATATGTGATCGACATGACAAAATATATTTTTGAAATTATTTTAGCCATTGAGGTGGGGCTATATATGCCCAATTCTGGATTTTTGACGGCTTTTTGACATGTATGGAAGAATTGTGGTTAGTTTCATCCAGTTAATGCCTGAGATAGTCGGACAAGCAAGGTGTAGAGTTGGCAATGCTGTCCATTGTACATTCCATGTAAACAATATGTGGCAATAGTCTATTTCTTGGTGTTTCAGGGACTCACTACATGTATTACTGCAGGGCTTGAAATATTAAACAGCCAATCAATGATCGGCATGAAATTGTTTATCATTGTCAAAAAAACAGGGTTTTCAACCAGGAAAAGTTGCGGCCGAGTTCCAGGAGAATGATAATCTTAAGTAATGCAAACCTTAATCAGGATCTTAACCCATTGAGCCGCAATGCGCCCTACTTATTTTTTTTTTACTTGTCTAACGCCAGACGATTTTACTCGTCAGCAGGGAAGCTCTGCAGCTTAATGTGTTAAGTATATACCTTAATACTTGTATTAAAATTTGTGTCGTATACATCATTTCCCCTCAGCTTTAAATTTGCGGATTTAATTTCACACACCTTGTTGAGACTTATTCGCACAGCTTTAAATTTACGCAAGTAATTTTCTGTGTTCGTTTAATAGAACTTTTATTTAACAGAACGATTAACAATTAACGCATTTATAATGAGTATTTTTTATCAACAAATAGTTTTTTCAATATTTGTCAAAACTTAATCAAAAAGCAATTAGGTGACCTCAAAAATGGCTTCAAAATTATGCAATGTAAGCAAAATTCATGATAACAATAAAGCATGAGTTCAAAATACCAACAAGAACTAAACGTTTTCCTAATACAATAACATAATGCAAATAATAATGCAAATTAGTTAATAAATCAACTGATTTGCATTACTAACACTTGATGAGTATCTCATATTACACCACAAAGCTTTTCGTGTGGATTATATTTCGCGCAGTAAGAGGTGTAACTTAACACTTGCTTGCTTGCCCGGGGCAAGTGAATATCATGACTGGCAAGTAAACATTTTATCTTGCTTGCCCCGATTGGGCAAGTTGCCTTGCCACAAAAACCTGGACATCTTTAAATTTATGTTTTCATTTTCAGATATAATTTTTTTATAGTGCATGTACTTGATTGAAATTTTGTTTTTTGTGGGCCACAGCTAGATCTGAGGCAGTATAACATAACATAGCCATATAGAGCAGACGAGCAGTGGGAGAATGGGTTGACATGTTGTCCCCTTAATTTATACCTTAATTTATCACAACTTGTTAAGAAGCTCACTACAAGCCTATTGAGGAGACATCTTGTTGAGAAGTTGTTAGAACAGCATTGTCACAACTTGTTAACAAGCTTGCTACAATCCTCTTGCAGAGACATCTTGTTGATCAAGTTGTCGGAACAGCATTATCACAACTTGTCAACAAACTTGCTACAAACCTGTTGCAAAAAGTCTTGTTGAGAAGTTGTTAGAACAGCATTGTCACAACTTGTTAACAAGCTTGCTACAATCCTCTTGCAGAGACATCTTGTTGATCAAGTTGTCGGAACAGCATTATCACAACTTGTCAACAAACTTGCTACAAACCTGTTGCAAAAAGTCTTGTTGAGAAGTTGTTAGAACAGCATTGTCACAACTTGTTAACAAGCTTGCTACAATCCTCTTGCAGAGACATCTTGTTGATCAAGTTGTCGGAACAGCATTATCACAACTTGTCAACAAACTTGCTACAAACCTGTTGCAAAAAGTCTTGTTGAGAAGTTGTTAGAACAGCATTGTCACAACTTGTTAACAAGCTTGCTACAATCCTCTTGCAGAGACATCTTGTTGATCAAGTTGTCGGAACAGCATTATCACAACTTGTCAACAAACTTGCTACAAACCTGTTGCAAAAAGTCTTGTTGAGAAGTTGTTAGAACAGCATTGTCACAACTTGTTAACAAGCTTGCTACAATCCTCTTGCAGAGACATCTTGTTGATCAAGTTGTCGGAACAGCATTATCACAACTTGTCAACAAACTTGCTACAAACCTGTTGCAAAAAGTCTTGTTGACAAGTTGTTGGAACAGCATTGTCACAACTTGTTAACAAGCTTGCTACAAACCTGCAGTATTGCAAACACATCTTGTTGACAATTAGTTGTTGGAACGGCATTGTCACAACTTGTCAACAAGCTTACTACAAGCCTGTTGAGGAGACATCTTGTTGACAAGTTGTTGCAACAGCATTGTCAGAACTTGTTAGGCCAAAAAAAATATGTGGGTTTCCGGTTTCCCAACCCTACCTAGCTTTTGGACGTCGAAATCCCGACCCCAAACTTTTTTATTGGATCATGCTCAGTGTGACCAGATTTTTTCAGCAGTCATTACCAAAATTTTGTTCAAATTTTACTAAATTAAGAAAAATTTTACCAAATATCGGCTTTCCAAATAATTACGTCATAATAATGCCAAAAAACAATAGTTGCATCATCAAAGTAGAAAAAATATGCACAAAAGTCAAAAAGCATCTCGAAATACTTCTTGCTTTCATCCGTTGCAGTTTTTGCTAATGATAAGGCTTTATTTCTTAGGCTTGGCAGTTCTGTTCATCACTTTGAGCATGTTATTAAACAAGAAACACACATTTTTACCAAAATGATTATTAATCATTAAAACCTTTCAGATTTTACCAAAGTTTTACCAAAAAAAACTTATTTACCAAATTTTCTTGAAAATTCACAAAATTTTACCAAAAGTAAAACTTTTTACCAAATCAGGTCACACCACTGAGGGTCACACTGATCATGCTTGCAAGTGTTTCCACTTAGAGGAAAAAGTTTGTGGAAAATTGAAATTTGAGGCAATATTAGCGAAATTTATCTTTGGATGTGGAAGCACTGACTAAACAAAATGGCGTCCGCTTGTTCGGAAAATTAAAAAGAAAGTTTAAAAAAAAAAGTTAAAAACTTAAAACCGACCTACCCTACCTAAGGTTTTATAAGAAGAAACCGGAAACCCGCATATTTTTTTTGGCCTTAGCAAGCTTTCTACAAGCCTGTTGAGGAGACATCTTGTTGACAAGTTTTTTGAACAGCGTTGTCACAACTTGTTAACAAGCTTGCTACAAACCTATTGCAAACACATCTTATTGACAAGTTGTTGGATCAGCATTGTCACAACTTGTTAACAAGCTTGCTACAAACCTGTTGCGAAAAATCTTGTTGACAAGTTGTTGGAACAGCATTGTCACATCTTGTTAAGACTGTTAACAAGCTTGCTACAAACCTGTCTTTTGACACGTTTTTGGAACAGCATTGTTACAACTTGTTAACAAGCTTGCTACAAACCTGCAGTATTGCAAACACATCTTGTTGACAAGTTGTTGGAAGGGCATTGTCACAACTTGTGAACAAGCTTGCTACAAGCCTGTTCAGGAGACATCTTGTTGACAAGTTGTTGCAACAGCATTGTCAGAACTTGTTAACAAGCTTGCTACAATCCTCTTGCGGACGAGACATCTTGTTGACAAGTTGTTGGAACTTCATTGTTACAACTTGTTAACAAGCTTGCTACAAACCTATTGCAAACACATCTTGTTGACAAGTTGTTGGAACATCATTGTCACACTTGTAACAAGCTAGCTACAAACCTACAGCATTGTTGTTAACAAGCTAGCTGCAAACCTACAGCATCCTGTTCACAAGTTGTTGGAACAGCATTGTCACAACTTGTTAACAAGCTTTCTACAAGCTTATTGAGGAGACATCTTGTTGACAAGTTGTTGGAACAGCATTGCATAGCCAGAAATCTCATACAACATGGCGACGAGTATGCGCAGAAAACGCTATTGCGGCGCTAAATATGGCCGCGAAATGAGTGTAAAATGTATTAACAATTTGAAATTTCTAGCTGCCTGTCTTTGCCATACGAAAGCTGACCTTTCCCAGCGTCAAAATCAATAAAACACTCCTTGAAGAATATTTATAGCGAACAAAATTTGAAAATAAGATCATTCTAGACGGTGCCTTTTTCAACTTTTGTTGAGATGGTTACCTCAGTACTATTCTTAATAATTTATCAATTTAACGCTAACCTTTGTTCAAACTTGGTCTGCTTAGACAGAATCACCCCATCGATGAATCTCCCCCAACGTCACATTCAAAAGATAAGACGTTAAACTATCTAAAAATATATTTTTTAACCAGATATTCAACCGTTGAAGCGGTGCCATTTCCAGCTAAAGATCGTAATAATTTTAAACGTTAAATATAAAACTGAAGACGCACGGCTAGCACAAAATATCTTTAAAACTAGTTCATTCTGCTGTTCACGACAATTAGCTATAGTGTTTAACTTGACATAAACTTTCGTTCTCCCTCGGTGGCTTAGTGGTATAGGTCGTTTGGCCTGTGTCGACAAACCTTTGAGTTCGAGTCGCGTCGAGTTCATATTTTCAATATTTTTTCCTTTTATTTCTATCCAGCTGTTTTTATTCTTTTTACATCTTTATATGAGAAATCGCTTTGCAAGTAGTTGGAAATATTGGTATGTTGAACCTGGCTCGAAGAAAATATACAAAATATTATCAAAACAAGAGTATTAAGCTATTATGAGGAACAATTTGGAGACATTGAGTGAGTTTACGAGGTACTTCATCTTACAACGTCATATTGGCGCTTGCGTGAGTCCGCGAGATGAACCGCTTGCCGTCGCAGATTTCTGGCTATGGTCACAACTTGTTAACAACCTTGCTTCAAACGTATTGCAAGCACATCTTGTTGACAAGTTGTTGGAACATCATTGTCACAACTTGTTAACAAGCTTGCTACAAACCTATTGCGAACACATCTTGTTGACAAGTTGTTGGAACAGCATTGTCACAACTTGTGAACAAGCTTGCTACAAGCCTGTTGTCGTTTTGAGGAGACATCTTGTTGACAAGTTGTTTGAACAGCATTGTCACAACCTTTTAACAAGCTTGCTACAAACTAGACTTTCCAAAATCCTTTCCAGACGCTTCTTTGGCGCGCTTCACTTCTTCTGTGGAAAGGACTTTTGTCACTTGCAGCGCGCCAAGTATCACCGATGGAGAAATCCACTGGTCACGTCATTGTTTACAGGTTTTACATTGAAGGCCGAAGCGGTTTACATTATCGGTCATTATCGAAGGAGTCTAAAAATAATATTATATTGTCAGGCTTTTTTGTTGAACAAATGTGTATTATTGAAGCAAACAGAGTAAACAATGTAAATACAATTTTGAAGAACACAAAAACCATGTGAAAATACACAAACAAGCATTACATTGAGTATAATATTATTTAAAAGAACAGGGTGTAGAAATAAACTTTATTAGTATAATTACATAGGTGATTATTGAAAATTCTCCACGCTGAGTGGTTGCCGTTGAGGTGATTATTACGCGATAATCGCCTGAGCGATTTTCAAAATGGCGGCCGAAGCCTTTTTGTCAATTAAATAACGAAGAAATGTGTATTTTCTTATTTTTTCCAAATAATCACCTATGAAATTATACTAAAACAATTATTCACCTCAGGCTCGGTGATTATCGTGAATAAAAACCTCGACTTCGTCTCGGTTTTTATTCACCGATAATCACTTCGGCGAATAATTGTTAATCAATACTGTCACCGAAGATGCATCTAATGATTCTAAAATTTCCTCCCTAGTTTCTGGTTTAGTTTTGGTTTCTTGATCTCAATTACTGATTATTAATACAAAATCGTTCGTTGAGAAAACAACGCGGATTTTGAACTCTGGCGACGTCTTCTCGTTGATCACAATCGCCGCCTCTCTGCTTTTCCGTTACAGTTGTCTGACTCTTTTCAATTTGATTAACTTCTACTACGTTAAATCGCTTGCGATCTTAATCAACTTTCTATAATAAGTCTAATAAATTACTATTCTTGTCGAAACAATTACGGCACACATTGTTAGACAAACAACTGTCCAGATTCAATAAGTCTTTACATGCACTCGTTTTTGTTGATACATTGAACAGCTTTCGGCGCTTACTTGGGTCAGTTATTTCGTTTCCACACTCGGTGCAAACTGTTTCATTCGAGGACAAAGAAATATCAATTCTTGAGAATGTTTTTGTAGACCCATTGTCGGCGCGGTGAAGTAATTGTATGAAATGTACACACCCTTTTTATGTCAAAATTATTCGCGCCAAAATTTGTAATGCGATTTAAATTCCTGCAAGGGACACAAGTCGACCACTCGCGACTTCGTCGCTAGGGTCGCGCGTTCCCTCCCCCGCGCCCTCCCTCCCCCATGGTCGGCTTGTGGCAAGTCTAGCTACAAACCTATTGCAAACACATCTTGTTGACAAGTTGTTGGAACAGCATTGTCACAACTTGTTAACAAGCTTGCTACAAGCCTGTTGAGGAGATATCTTGTTGACAAGTTGTTGGAACAGCATTGTCACAACTTGTTAACAATCTTGCTGCAAACCTATTGCAAACACATCTTATTGACAAGTTGTTGGATCAGCTTTGTCACAAGTCACAACTTGTTAACAAGCTTGCTACAAACCTGTTGAGGAGTCATCTTGTTAACAAGTTGTTGGAACAGCATTGTCAGAACTTGTTAACAAACTTGCTACAAACCTACACACGTAAAAACGCACAAGTTGTGACACGTCTGTTCACAAGCTGTCAACAAATTGTACTCGCACTGCTTGTTCCCAGTTTGTTGTAACAAGTTTGAAACAAGCTGTTAACAACTTGTAAAAACTTGATGGCATTATCAGCCTTGTTACAAGATTGTGCTAACAAGTTTGTTACAGCCATGATATAACAAGGATGTTACAAGGTTGTCAACACAAGGTTGTAACAATCTTGTTATATCAAGCATGTCACAGACTTGTCAGAACAACCTTGCAACGAGTCTGATAATTTCGACAAGGTTGTTACAAGTTGTCAACAAGTTGTTCCAAACCTGTTGACAACTTGTGGCAAGCAGTGCGAATACATCTTGTTAACAGCTTGTGAACAAACTTGTGCGTTTTTACGTGTGTACGGTATCGCAAACACATCTTGTTGAGAAGTTGTTGGAACCGCTTTGTCACAACTTGTTAACAATCTTGCTACAAACCTATTGCAAACACATCTTATTGACAAGTTGTTGGATCAGCATTGTCACAACTTGTTAACAAGCTTGCTACAAACCTGTTGAGGAGTCATCTTGTTAACAAGTTGTTGGAACAGCATTGTCAGAACTTGTTAACAAGCTTGCTACAAACCTGTTGAGGAGACATCTTGTTGACAAGTTATTCGAACAGCATTGTGACAACGTTAACTAAAATTCGCGCACCCAGCGCTGCGCAAATTCTAGTACTGCGCAAATTTTAATAGAAGTAAGGTATATAATAGAAGTATGTAATATTAATATTGCCGTAAAACCTTATTGAACTTTAATTAGGCCATATTTTTGCAAAGCCGATAGATTCTGTTCAAACAAATATAGAAAAGTCATGTTGTCCTTTCTGTACCATGCGGTGACTGTGAGAAACAGTATCTGCATGGGTCAGTCCAGCCTGCGTAGCAGGCGTTTAGTGCGTGCGGGAGAAGAAAGGGCGTCGTTTAACGACGCCCTCTCTTCTCCCGCTCGCACTAGACGCCTGCTACGCAGGCTAGGGTTAGTCTAAACGTCAGTTTGGCACACGGCTAAAAGTAGGCTGTTTCGTTATATTGATATAGTCCTTAAATATCGAAAATACCGACGAAATATCGAAATTATTTCCCGGTAACGTCTAGAGAACACGCGTTTATCACAAAAGATCACAACAGGACTACCCAGACAAGCGGCAGTTTATTTTTATATTCGATTAGTTTCACGCGACTTTGTTTGTTTTGCTGTTTTTGACGCGGTATACGTTTTCTTTTGCGTTTGTGATGCGGTATATTGACTAATAAAACTACATTTCGTAATTTTGCTTGTTTTCATATTTTCGACATTTGCATATTTCGATATCGATATACTGTATCGAAATTTTCCAATACCGCAACAGCCTACGCCAACAAGAACCTCAAAAGGCTATTCCAACTTTTAAATAAGTGCAAATCATGGGAATACTCGAGAGTCATTACCACTAACAATCCCTATGGCCAAAGATTTTAGTCAGATCCGGGAATAATGATGTAGTTTGCTCGAGTTCTAATGAATACAATGTATTTTTAGGATTGTATAAAGGGTATCAAAGTCGGTGATTTGGATTCATTTGGCCACCATATTAAAGCCAACTGTACATTTTTGGCATTCAATACAGATGGTGGTATGTACTAACCTTGATATATCATGTGACAGTTTATGGTGTTTATGGTTGATTTTCCCATAAAAATTCAACTATATATAGGCCATCCTTCAGAAATTGAAACCGTGGTTCTGTTAGTGGTTCCAGTGCAGCACACTGACCACTGAGCTATATGTAGTATACCAGAATATGGTGCATGTACAGCAGTTACTATACTAGACAGTGTAGTATGCACCCATGTTTTCACATGTTTTCAATATGCATTCTCGGTGGCCGGACATTTTGCCGAAAGACACTTTGCCGAAAGACATTTTGCCGAAAGACATTTTGCCGAACGGACATTTTGCCGACGGACGTTTTGCCGAACAGACGTTTTGCCGAAAGGACATTTTGCCGAAAGGACATTTTGCCGAATGGACATTTTGCCGAATGGACATTTTGCCGAACGGACAGTTTGACGAACAGACATTTTGCCGAGAATAGAGATATCTCCCGAACTTTAAAGGTTCGCTTACACGGTCAAGGTTTCTGTGATTAAAGTCATTAATTGTCGATTTTGATGACAGAAACTTTGATAGTAAAGTATAGTTTCGTTTTATATTCTTTCAAGTTTTTGACAAGTTTACCGAAAATTCGCGATATAAAGAATAACATCATTCAACATCAGTCTGCATGAATGTGATTTCCCCGAGAACTGTGACGATCTGACGTCAAAACACGTTCATCCCCAGCTAGGCTTACTAGTGTTGGTTTGCTAGGTGGTCTATAGATCCCATATTATGAAATATTTATTATTTATTTTATTTATTAAAACTTTATTTCACGAGCCTCAGGGTAAAAACACATTACAGCCAGGGGCTGAAAAACTTGTGGCCCTCAGGAAAATTGACATTAAGTTATACATGAAAAATACAGATAATATTAAACTAAATTAATATGATCTAAGTCTATATAAACATGCAATTTTTTACATTACGTATACCCAAATATGGTGTATTCATGTATATACTCTTGTGAAGTAATTACCAAAGTATGGTATACTGTATACTGCTGAAGTAAACTGAAATACTACTGTATATACCAGGTTTCTTACAAAACTTGACAATCCTTGAATTTGGAAACATAAATTAAAGCTTGAAAGTCCTTGAATTAATTGTTCTTGTTTTAGTAGATATTTTCGGAAACTGTTTGGCATTAAGAATTGGACATTTTGTAAATTGATTTAACTTACAAGTGCAACACACTTATTTCTGACGTCTTCTTTTCTGCCCTTTAGTCCTTGAATTTCCTGATATATGGGCATGAAAGTCCATGAAAAGTACTTACTGGCCATGTATATAGCGAAATACGTGTACAATTTATGTATGGGCTGAGTATTCTCCCTGCAACATCCAGGTGATCTCGTGTTCGTATTTTAGCCAATCAGCGCTCAGAAAGGGTTGTCCGAATAGAAATCCATTTTGATGTATTCAGTCAATTATATCTTTCATTATTCTTTATGAAACTAGTTGAAATTTTGTAATTATGTTTGGTTATGAGAACTATAGCTCTGACAAAAATACGGAATCGAAATAAAGTATATTAATCACAGGAGATATTCAGTTGTTTTAATCATAAAATGGATTTCTATTTGACAACTAGTGCCAGTACTTTTCCGCGTATCAAGATCACCTGGATAGTATGAAAATTTTCCAAGACTTATACAGTATATAGTTTTAATAGACTTATATAGTTTTAATAGAAACTGAAGAATTATCTGTTGGTCCAGATAATAAGCGTAACAAAGCCCTAGAAAATTGTTCATTATTAAAAAACCCAAGTTATTTCCATCGTTCAAAAAGCGGCTTATATAGGACAAAGGTCAAAGGCCACGGGGGTCCATCACCTAAACTACATACGCAGCAGAGTAATTTGGTACAGGGTAGAATAGCTAACAACCAACCCATTCCAACTCGAATCACTAGAAGAGAGGAACCGACGAATGATCGACGAAAAACTAGTCTGAGGCGGAAAAAAACAAAATCTTCATGTGAGCAGGTTTTTCGTTCAGAAATCAGACGGAAAGACAAAACGAAATGGTTCAGGTTTTATTACTAGATGATTTCTTATCCCTAAACCTATATAATCATCAATAAACATTAGTAAATGGACAAACAACTAATGCAACAAATTTTAATAACCTAATTTATATTGAAACATCAATGTTCCCAGATAAATCCGAAAGTATAAGCACTCAGGATACAATGTACCTGCATAGTTCCAAGTCTCATCAGGAGCCCCTTAACAGTGTTCCCCAAAGTGGTGAACCCTTGTTTATTCTATCTAATGTAAGATCACTTCTTCCTAAGATTGATGAGTTAGAAACTATTCTGAAAGCAAGTTGTATAAACATGGCCTTTATTACAGAAACGTGGCTGAGTGAAAACATCCACGACGGCGCTGTCGAAATTGATGGTTACTCCCTTGTCAGGCGTGATAGAGTTAACAAGATAGGAGGAGGCGTGTGCGCCTTTATTAAATCATCTATTCCATTTAAATTATTACCAGAACTACAAGAAGAATGTTTTGAAACCCTGTGGTTATATTTGAGACCGTATAAACTTCCTCGAGGCTTTTCATGCCTGATAGTATGTGTTATTTATCATCCACCATCCAACGATAATCATGCCCTAGTCGAACACATTATCTTAAGCCTCGATTTAGCCCTTATGAAGAACCCAAATGCAGGAATTTTCCTGGTCGGTGACTTTAATAGATGTCCTGTTTCAGCGTTACTAAGACATTTCGGACTAAAGCAAATTGTCAAAAAACCTACGAGGAAAAATGTTGCCCTGGATCTAATTCTTACGAATATGTCTGCCTGTTGCAACCCTGCATTGGTAACCTCTCCTATTGGACTAAGCGACCATAGCTCTGTGTTATGTACACTTAAAAGACTTTCCGATTAAAATTATCAAACTACATGCTAATGATAAACCCTGGATTGTTTCTTTCCGATTAAAATTATCAAACTACATGCTAATGATAAACCCTGGGGTGGTCAATCATTCAATGGGTTAAACTTTTGAACAATAAGTATGTAATAGGTACATACTGTGCCGGGGATGGAACCTTCTGTCCTGTGATTCTGAACAGCTCTTTAACAGCTGGGAGACACTCAAGCCCGGAGAGTCCAAGCCCCAAGAGTCCATCAAGCTAACCAAGAGTTCATGTATATATGAATTATAAATGTTCACAGTAAATTTTTAAGAAATCATTTCAAAGAAATCATCAAATATTGGATGATGTTACTTCAATTGCATGTTTAGTGCATCGGTAAACGCCAGAAGAGTAATCCGAGCCATAAACAACTAGATATTAGCCCTGTCGACCAAAACCTTGCTAACACAAATCGCCGAAATGACACAGGAAATATTACGCCAAATTTTAACATTTTGGTACCATATTGATCACTGGATTCCAGGCTTTCAGAATCCGTGCGTACTTCTGTCGTTTACGCATACTTTAAAGAATACAGCCGTTGTATATTTCAACCACGGGTTCACCGTAGTAATAATCTATATCAACACCGCGGCCGGTCGCTCAAGTTCATGGCCAAAGTGACACAGGATATATTGCGCGGAATAAAAAGCAAGCCATGTAGACATAAAGAGAGTATCGCAAAGAGCATAAAGCCGTGCGTACTTTTGGGAAAAGTCAACTATAACTAGGTAAAATGATAGTAAATTGCGCGATTTGGGCTTTAAACGCAACAGGGTGCCGTTACCGAATATTTTGGTGATCAAATGTCACAGCATATTTTCCCATGAAACAAATATAATATGTATATTAGTCATTGTTAATGGCATAATGGGTCATTCCAGAAAACATCCATACTACTTCCCCCACAGAGGAAATTGGAATTTAACCCCCCCTACCCCCTTCAGATCAGATCTACTAATACACTTACTATTATCAGAAACAATTTTTTAACAC